AAGGGCTGTAGAGAGCATCAGCTTACGCGTATATGCCCAAAGAAATGGACTGCGTACCTTCGTTCAGAGCGCGGCTCTCGCCTGCCACCGGGTCCACCCCCTGCTGGATCCATATCCACGACAGCGGGCGTTCCGCCTTCTTCTTCTGCCTCTTCCTCATTGACGCCTTCCCCTTCCCCTTCCCCTTCTGCCTCTCCTCGTCTCCGTACGTCGTCCTCGGCTTCCCCCTCACGTCCTCATCCGTTAGCTTCTTCAGCGTACGCTCCCACTCCATCCTCCCCAAAGGCGGCCCCAGGACACCCAGCGCCTCGTGTGCTGTCCTGTACTGTGCACTACAGCGCCGAAGGCGGTCGTTAAGGGCATTGATCTTGTCCTGCGATCGCATATTGTCCCGCACGCCCCGCGAATGGCTGTCTTTTTGCTTGTACAGGTGGGTGCGGACGAGCAATTGCCGCCTGATCTCGTCCAGTGCCTCATTCGCCTGCCCCACCCGCATCCGGTACTCGTGCTCCAACACCTCGTCCGTGCACACCGCCACCCTACGACCCCGACGCTTCCACATCGCGGACGGCAGCCACAAAGCGACATCCTGCACTTTGATTCCAGGAATGGCCTTGGTCTTTGCGGCGCGTCGGCGTGCTCTGTCCTCGGCGGTGTGGAAGGCGGTGACGATGGGGAAGAACTTCGTTTGCTGATCCTTCCACGTTCCGATCTTGCGTCGAAGCTTGCTGGACCGCTCGACCATCTTTCGCCGCTGATCCTCTGTAGGATGGAGGCCTGTCGCGTCGGCATCGAATTTGAGGGTCCTCCTTTGGAATCGTCAGGATATGCATTTGACAAGAGCACAGGCTTTTACTCACTGCTGCTCCTCCAGTTGGAGTCCCATGGCGAGGAACTCCGTGACGTGCATCTCCTCTTGCACGTCTCCATCCTCCTCCTCCCCCGCCGCCTCCCTCGCTGCCGCCTCCTGCGCCAACTCCCGCCGGACCGTTGCCAGATGGTCGTCCTTCTGCAGCGCTTCGAAAGGGTTCTGATTCACCGCGCTCTCCTCCCACTTGGCCAGTAGATCCTTCCACGCGCTCACGGCCTCGTCGTCTAACGACTCCTCCAGGTCCTCCAGCGCCACCGCCGTCCCCACCATCTCCGGTACCGCCTTGGCTGCTTTCGCCCGCATCACCCGACCTGGAGAGCCAGTGCTGGTTAGTACGCAGGTCGTTCCGTGTTAGAGGGAGGACTTACCCAACGCAACAATCTTCTTATGATTCCAGTCGTTGAAGTGGTCGTCCAAGGTGTCGCGTCGAGCACCTGGCCCCATCTCCTTGGTGCTGCCCGCCAGCGGGTTTGCATTCGCCCACCCGCGCTCCGGTGCCTCGCCGTCCGTCTGCCCGACACCCTTCGTGAGGTTGAATGAGAAGAGTAGGTTGCACGCCTCGATGTGGGCGGGCAAGTGGAACTTGGGGACGAGGAAGGTTATAAACTTCCCGCGGCAGTCGACATGAAGACCCTCTCGGTAGGTCTCCATCCGAACCCAGATATTTATGTGCCACTGACAGGCGATGTCTTATGAGACATAGAATCGCTGCAACTCGGTGCCCGCTATGCTGTCGCAAAACATGTAGTCCATGTTAATGTATCTGTAGCTATATTAGTCAAAAAATCGCGTGTCAAGAATGTAAGGCGTACCGCTCTCCGAGCTGAAGGTCTCCTACAGCGTTAGGGCGCTTCATATTATGCCGCGCACAGTCCATGGCCCCGATTCCCGACGAAGCGGTGCCCCGTGCCTCCCTGTCGGGTTTATCCACAGCGTCGTGCGCGACACAGTGACTTTTCTATTTTTAAAAAAATCCACGTTAATCAACATTTCGCTGCGAGCATAATGAATGCGTACCTCTTGTGGGGCATTCCAATGTTTCGCCAAATGCTCCATGTACATCATGACGTCGCCGTAGAAGGCCCAGCCTCGACCGAGACCGGGGTCCTTCTCCTCGCTCGAAACATCCTTCCGTTTCAAGCGGAAGTTGGCGTCCATCGCCACAAACAGCGCGTAGAGGAATCTATCATTCATAGGGTCAGACTATGATTAATGCGGAGAGTTCCACTCACTTCTGATCCTCAGGCACGTCCTTCCAGTTCTCAGGAAGATTTTTTCCTGGTTGCGGGCATGCGGGGCACAGCAAGGCACACTCGCCCGCCTTAGTACCGGCACGTCCCAGGGGATCGTTGCCCCTCCCCGCACGCTTCAGCATCTTAAGGTGGCGCCATTCCCTCACCATCCGGCAGAACTGAGCATAACGATTCTAATATCAAGTCAGCGCCCACGATCAGACTCAGGAGCAATACCGCGTACCTTGGGGGGTTCTAGACCCATATTGTCCGTCTCTCGAGCTAGGCTGTGGTAGAAGTGGTACGCCGAGCATTTGGACTCGAAGGAAAGAAGGTGGAATCGGTGGAGCACGCCGAACGTTGCCGCCGTGCGTGGGCTCCCACCCGTCGCCGGGAAAAGTCCGGCGCGTAAAAGCTGCACGGAATGCGACCCGCCCTCTCCGCAGCCGCAGAAATCGAGCCCGACCGAGTGAACACCATGCTCGCCGATGATGACAAAAGAGTCGTCGCGCACGCATTCAGGAAGCAGGCATCTGCTATCACGGCCGTGCCAGTGACCCAGTTGAATGCGCAGCCCTAGCTGCTTGAGCGTACGTGACTCAAAGAACTCGCCATTCCAAACCTAGGCGTCCTGGGTGAGCCGACCTCGAGGATTCATGAAGTGAGAGACGCACCTGAATTACATGTAGAGGAAGTCTACTATGGCGTGCCACTATACATGCGCGACATAGGAGTTCGCCGCCGCTCATACATCGCATACACCGGTGGTCCGCGCTTCCCTCGTCGCACTCCATACATATCGTGAAGTCGCGGTGGTCGCCTCGCCCCTCACGCCGCAGGCACTCGTCCAAGAAGGTGTCGCAGTGATCCTCTGCCCACTGTCCTAAGGGATCATCCTGATTCTACGTCAAATCGGATATGCGTGCGGGGTATCTTGTCACATACCGAGTCGCGTCTATCCCTTGCGCCCTCATCATCCGTCTGGTCGCTCTCGTCCCCATCATCATCGCTGTCGCTCTCAACATAGTCGTAAAAGGGTTCTGGCTCCTCTTCGCGCGTGTCGGGACGCAGTCCAAAGTTAGCGGTGCGTGCTTTCAACGGGGAGGACAAAACGTTGATCACACGATTGGTGTGTCGTGTTCTCCCGTCCTCCCCGACCGCTGTTGACTCCTGCAGCATCACGCCGCGCACCCCGCGTCCTGGCGCCCGGGGTAGTTCATCCTCGCCGTCTTCTTCCTCGGAGTCAGGACCCAGGTCGTAATGCGTCTCGGCTTTGCGTTTGACCATTGAGAAGGAGTGGAATGAGGGAAGCAGCAAGAAAAGAGACCAAAGCTGGGATAAGGATGGGCTCGCTGGGCGTCCATGCGGACGCCCAGTAAGCGAGACCAACGTTTGGCCTTGTTGTTCATCACCATCTACGTAGCACCGCCTGACCATTGCTTGGCTTTGTGGTTCATCGCCATCTCCGCAACACCGCCTCCAAATTTCAACCGCTGCGCCGCAGCCTTTTGTCATGTCTGTTGTAAACACCATCTCTCTCGTCCGGCGCGGGCTCTGCCATGCGACCATCGTAAGTGTTACTTAGCATCACTCTTATTCGTACTTACACCCAGTAACTCTAGGAAGGTCATCTGATGGGCTACCCACTGGAAATGTGTGCGCCATACCAGGGCCAGATCAAATCCCTCGTCAACACCCACTTCTATCATATCCTCTTAGCGTCTAACACTTGCACCAACACCCTTCTCGACCTAATGGAACTCCGGCCTGAGGAGTGGGCTGGTATCGTGGTAATTTCCAGCTTTCACCTCTGTCAACCGTGCCGCCCATGGGTACCTCCAGGACTTTGTCCGTCGCTGGTATGCAGACAAGTACTGGCCGGGCACAACCTGGCACAACCAAGGAGAAATGGCTCGGTATCCTGATTGCCGAGGTGCGTCACCCGATCCCCATGCGTTTTCCTACGACTAAGACTTTTCAGATTCGTAATCTCTACCGATGGATCGATTCCTACGAAAATGGCTGGCCTGTCCAAATCGCTTTGGAACGCCTACGGCACGAGGACACCAACCAGCTCATTACCCTCCGTGTTCAACCACGCCACGGTCCTCGCTTCCCCGTTCATCCTATCAGTCCCAATCCGACGTGACAGGCTCCATCAGATTTCCAATCCCTCGCTCACGTGTTGTATATACTTATCCCCTATGGTATAAATATCCCCGCCTAGCTTGGTCCCAACCGCAATGTACCCCATCGCCCAATACGATATGGCCCGCCTCCAGAAAGGCGAATTCCATCTCTCGTGGGTCCATCCAATCTTCTTGAATCCCAACTCACCTGCCCTCATATTAGGTTTGACAATGTGCTCATTTCCATGATCCCCACCGCCCAATACGATATGGCCTGCCTCCAGAAAGGTGAAATCTATTTCGCGTACATACTTCCCACTCTTTCTGAACCCTAACTCACCTGCCTTCGTAGGCTTGACTACGTCTTCGTTTTGCGCAATCGGGTCTACGGTCTCGCCGCTGCTGCTGAAAAAACGGATAGGCTAGGGATCGACGACCCCGACGACGAGATGCCTGAGCTCGTTCCCCTCGACAACGACGACGAAGTGATCCTGGAGCCGCTCAACACATCGGACACCCCCGTGCGCCACTGTACTTACTGTCACCCCTGCTCCGCCCCTGTCCACCGCGCCAAACTCTGAATGCTTGTACCGTACACGCTATTCGTTCAACTCCAGTAGCCTAGTAGCCACAGGATTTAATACACGATAACTGTAGCTACTTCAATCAACTCTGCATGGATGTAATACACGATCTTTAATGCAGACTAAAACATTATTTCATTTCATTTAAACAGCAACGACGGCGCGGAAAAAGAAAGGACCCCCAAGCCTTGGGCAAGGATCAAACTCGCACCGTCAGAAGAATATTGCATAATCATTGCCATTCAAATCTGGCGCTCTACCAGTTAAGCCACCAAGGCATTCGCTCACGCTGGAGACATGGTATTTGAAGGAGTGTTTGAAGGGTAAATCTATGTAGCTAGTGACATTCTAATCGATTTCCTCCAATACTTCCTCCAACGCCGGCACTTCTTCATCTGCAATAAATTCACTACCAAACAAAGCCGGGCATGAGAAGCAATACACTCGCACGCGATGAGCAACGTACCTGAACAGCTGGATCTTCGGACGTGTTGTCACTGGCGGGCCCGAGGGCATCCAGTTGGAGAGCTGGTCGACGAGCGGGCCTGGTTGCGAGTACCGGGTGGAGATGATGTCGGTTGCGGCCTCCCACAGTACCGCGATGGGCTCGGCGTCCCTGTCGAAGTACAGGGCCTGCCAATCTGCAGGAAACCCCCAATCGCCTTGCCCCAGCTCCACCAGTGCCTGGAGAGCCGTTTGGTAAGTCTTGGTTCCGCGTTCCAGCCGCCGCTCGCAGGCCTGGATCTCGTCGGCGGCGCGCATGTGCTCGAGGACCCCACGAGCTCCGTGGTCCTTCATGCGGCGCAAGTGCGCGCGCATGAGCACCCCCTGCTGCAGTGCATGTAGGATGTCGCCAATGCGGGCACGAGCTGCCATGAGCGGCATATCGTCCGTCACAAGCAAGGGCGCCCAGTGGGCCGCCCACGCGCACTCGGCGTTATTCCAGCCAGTGGAGTGGTCGTCGATGGTGTCGGTTCTTACACCAGGCCCCATCTCCCTGGTGCTGGTCGCCAGCGGGTTCAGGCTCGCCCACGCGCGCTCCGGTGCCTCGCCGTCGGTGGAGAGGTTGGGGTTGCTGAGCAGTGCGGCCATGGTAGGACAAAGCGGTGGCGTTGCGTCCAAAGGAGGAAGCGGCGGAGGAGGGTTTCGCCCTGGAGACGGCGCCGCATCCAGCGGGGGGGCTGGGGCGGCGCGCATACTGTCCAGCTGGTCTGTTGAGTGGTCAGAGGTGTGTACAACGCGCAATATAATCGAGACGCACCGTGGGCCTTGCGTTTTTTTTCGAACGACGATGGGACGATGCATGGCGGAGACTCGGTTTGGGGGGGAACCTGAACGAACGCAATTAAGGGAGCAGACTCTGAGCAAAACCTGACTAACACGCACCCTGTATATCGCTGTATATTCCACATCGCGCAAATCTCAGATCTCTTGCACTATCACAGGGCTATCAGAACGCCACACTATCGGAACGCGATCAAGGAGAATGAAGGAATATGCTATTTCAAAGATGGGTGTCCCTTTTGGGCCACCCTCATGGTAATCGGCGGTTGAAGAGTGTTCACCGCATATGCCATCTCGTAGGCGACCGCGCTAGTGGGTTGCGCACATGTCTTGGAGTATAAGCGAGCCTCGCGCAGCTGCTGCACGCGTGTCCCGCCGTCGGGGCAGCCGCAAAAGTCGAGGTCAACCTCGTGAATACCAGTAGCGTCAACGACGACGAAGTCGTTTACAGGGATGGGCTCAACGCAGAAATCGCCGCGCGAATGGCCCAGCTGGATGCGTAAACCAATGCTCTTGAGGGAAATGCCGGCCAGACGCTGCCCAGTCCACATCTGGACAACTGTCAGTATTTTAGCCGTCCATGGAGAAGTTAAATACCTCGATGCGATGGAACGGGAGATTGAGGTGCTGACCGACCATGCACTTGCGGCAATACCACTCTTGGTAAAAACACGACAGGCAGCGATATAAGGGGTTCGTATCGGGGCAGCCACGACATTTGTTGCGCATGGGTGGCGGGCCGAACGAGTGGGGGTCGTATTCCAGGTCGCGGATGGCCTGAAGCGAAAGGTCCTGGAAGAACTTAGAGCCTTGAAGCTCAAAGAAAACGCGACTTACTCTGTGTGCAGGATCGAGCGTCATGGGATAAGAGACCAAGGTTCCCGTTTGGGAGCATCAGAAGGTGTTGTCGTCAAATCCTCACAATTACAAACAGTACGTCAATACATCCTCGGCCACTTCTTCACGCGTTGTTCCAGTCCCAGCTCACGCTGTCGCACCAGGTGCGCCACAGTGGCCTTGCGCATCTTTGCCAACTCCACAATTTCCTCCGCAGACATGACCATTCCCATCGGCGGCGGCGGTGGCGGCAGCGGCGGCACCGAACTTGAATCTTTGGTCGCGATGTGCGTGTTCAGCCAGCGCATCATTTCGAGGCTAGGCGCACCCTCGTGCCTGCCTTGCACATATTTAATCGCCTCTGTCAACCAATCAATATTGCGGTCGGAGCGAATATATTTCTGCCAACCTTGCTTCAACCCTTTCTCAATCCGATCGATGAGTTCCTGGTCGGTCTGGACAGCGGCGTCGGGCATTGTTTTGAGATTGGTTCAAGAACTTTCAAGTCGCGAGCATTATCAGTGCTCTTACTATCCCCAGAAGATCTGCTTCTTTTGATCCTGATATTGCGTTACTTGTGTTAGGATGTCATTGTAAAGTTAGCTCCATTTATACACGTAGTCGCTACCAGTAAGTGATATTGCACATGGAATCCTATGAAGTATCAAGCAAAAACGGCCGCCCGATCAGCGGCCAACTCGTCGTACTTGGAAAACAACCCCATGGCCCATTGCCACCGCGAGCCAGGCACCCCATCAATCACTTCCCTCTGCTCCTTGCCGCCCGGGGTAGCCAAGAGCGACTTGGCCGACTGAAAGCCATACTCCACCCAGCGGAAGAGCCCACCCGCCGCATATTGTGTGATGGAGTGCCGCGTCTCGCCAGGCTGGATTGGGGTGTTTCCATGCTCGACGCAGCCGGAGGGGATGAGAAGGGAGGCGCCGCTAGGGGATTCAATTACCAGCCGAAGCGATTTCATGTGGATGTGGCCGCCGAGGGTTGGGTCAAAGTTGCCGCCGCATGTGATACCGCATAACCCATGGCTGAGGTTCAGGAAGTCGATATGGTCGAATGTGACGGCATCCGGGCCGCAATTGAAGGTGGCGGCGGGGAAAACGGAGTTGCTGAATAGGTGGATCAAGTGAGGGTGGTGGTCAAAGAGGGCCTTGAGCGTGCGGCAAAGGTACCGATAGAATTTTGGGGCGTACATAGCCAGCCCCGCTGCAGAAACCATGTCAGATGGAGAGGGTAGCAGCCAGCGCATAGCTTACACGATTGAAACCCTGCGATGCGACGAACAGCCCGGTTCCTTCGCAGTCGGTGGAGGATGCGGCGGATGGACTTGGGGTTGCACAGATTGCCAGGCCTCTGCAAAGAATAGACGCTAGCACCAATATTGCGCTGCGAATACACGGCGGCGCACGCACCTTCTGCCCTCCTCCAAAGGAAACGCCAGCGGTGATGGCCAAGTGTGGTCCCCTGCGATGGACAGCGCCGGGGCTCCATGCGCCAGCTCGTTTGGCATCGCGACGGGCACGGGCTAGCGCTTTGAGCGCCTCCTTGACGACGTTGGGCCAGTCGGGATCGTCGGGGGTACCGAGGAGAACGGCGATGATGCGCCCATCCCTATCCAGTATCAGCTTGGGATCCCTAAGAGCCGGGTAAGTAGATGAGAGGAGCGACAGGGTATGAGAACGCACCTTCCGTTCCACTTAATTAGCCTGCACCCCAACTCCTCCAACTCGGGCAATGTGGATGTGTGGCCGTTGGTGTGGCCGCTCTGCGTGGGGCGCGGGCCCAGCCACGACCCTCCTCCGGATGCGGGCAAATTAGCGGCTTCGATATCCACCCCATGAACGGGCTGTTCGCGGTACGCCTGAGAGCGGTGGGGGTTGTGGCGGCGGTCAAAGGGTACGGATGCCTCGGCAGCACGCTGGCGCCGTGCGCGCTGACGAGCTGCCTTGGCCTCCTTCTGGCGACGCTCATGGACGCCGCCAGTGGGTTGGGATGGTTGCGCATCGGGGGGGAGGGCCAGGGGTGGTGGAACGGTGGAGGAGGATGGCGAGGAGGGACGTGTGGAGCCCGGTGAGCTAGAAGGGGAGGACAGAGGCGAGGAGGCGGCAGTCGAGCATGGCGAGGGGGTCCCCGACTCGACGATATCCTCCCACTCATCCTCCTCCGATGCGTCATCCTCGCGGCTATCCGCAGCAGCGAGCGCGCCCTGCAGGATGGCATCCAGGGAGGCGTCTGTGCGGACGATCTCAAAGTCGCGGCCGAGGATGGGGATATGGTCGAGTTCGTAGGGCGAAAACGCCGCGCCACTACGCGTCTGACGCGGCATCGTGCGCGCAACCCGATGCCCACAGGCGCGAGGCCCTAAAAGAATGGTATCAGCTTAGTAGATAAGACAGGAAGCGCTTCAAACGCGTCGCCTTTGAGGGCGCTCGCAGACTGGGTGCAATTCGACTAAAGTATCTCTGGTAAGATCCTGCACACCGTGCTGCACCCAAGCTGCGAGCGCCTTCAAAGGCGATGCGGGGAGAAACTGGGGTACGACATACATACCGTATTGATTTGGGACCTCTGTGCGGTGGGGAAAAGTGCGGCGGTGCAAACGAAGGCGGGGGAAAAGGGAGCGCTGGTGAAAAGGAAGGTGGTGGTGTGAAGGAAAGTGGCGTGAGAAGCGGGAGCGTACCCGTTGTGTGGCTATAGGACGTAAGACACGAGCTATTTCTGGTTCGTGTAACGCTTGTCACACGGTGACTGGACGCATTTGGAGGATAAAGTTCTGGCTCGTTCATGATATAGAAGGGCTGGAATATAATTCTGCATCGATAGGATTGGTCTAGGGTATGTGCCGCAGGATCTGAGCATAAAAGGGAAGAAAAGGAGGGGGGTCAAATATCAGGTAACTGTCAGTTCGCCTAAAAATGCGATACCAGAATGTTCCCTGGGCGGGAATGCACTGATTTAGGGGTCATTAATGTACACCACAGATGTTGAGCAAAATACAGACCTTCGGAAGAAGTTTGTATAGTTAGAGATGAGGTGCGCGATGTACCACCTATTTGCCGTCGTACACGCTATATGATACATGGAATGAAATTTTGCTTCAATAGAACGTTTGTAGGAGACCTACCCGAACTTCTGATAGTGA